TGAGCAAATATAATGGCTGGCTACAAATATATAAAAATATATTCTGGCTAAAATATATATATAAATATATTCTGGCTAAACATATACATAAATATATTGTGCTAAACATATATATCAATATATTCTGGCTAATAACATATATAAATATATTCTGGCTAATATATATATATAAATATATTCTGGCTAAACATATTTATAAATATATTATGGCTAAAAATATATACAAATATATTCTGGCTAAAAAAGATTTCTTCTACGTTTCTTAGTATTTTTGGTCATGATACTTGGTATTACCTTTCTATATATTCTTCTTTGCATTATTTGTACTTTGTATCCTATGTATATAATGTTAACCACAAGTTGTCATTTATTTTTACATTTTGTTGTTATGATTTTAGATTTTATTTAGTCTAGAAGTACAGTGATGAATTTATTTACCTTTATTGTTTTGCAAACAGTTACATAAGTCACTAATTCCCTCAGTTTACAGACAAGCTACTGATCTGGGTAATATTATCTGGGTTTAATTCCTGCATCGGTCTCTGTCACATTAATTAGGCCAGATACGGAGGAGCTCAGCTGATGGAGAAGTGGGGTTATTAAAATAGAATCCATGTGTTAATATTAGGCACATTATCCTGATATTAACATTTACAAGGCAGACACACTTTTCTAATAAGAGAGAGATGAGGGGAGGAGGGGGAAGGGGGGGGGAGAGAAGAACGTAATGAAGTCAATGGTCCTCATCCTGTTGAGTCGGAGTCTATTTTTACAGGTCTTTCATAGAAGAAGCCACAGATGGATAAGTGTGTGTGTGTGTGTGTGTGTGTGTGAGAGAGAGCGAGAGAGAGAGAGAGTGAGAGAGGGCAGAGAGTGTTCACCAGAGTCAGTGCTAATCAGTCACCATACATCAAGGAGGAAACACTACACAATAAACCAAAAATAGTTACATGTAGATATACATGAAAAAAAAAATCATTATTTTTATCTCCATATAGAGAGAGATATCTTTGCATCTGTTTATGTTGAAAATTAATATGGGGAGAGACACTATGTCTAATGGAATGGAGAGAGAGAGAGAGAGAGAGAAAGGGAAAAGACAGAGGCAGAGAGAGATTTAAAAGCTTTACAAAGGATTTGTATCCAATAAGCCATACTCAGGATTAAGCCTGTTTAATGCAATGTCGTCACAAAACTACAAACCAACACACACACAAATATTACACACACACACCAACACAAGGGAAAAGACATTTTTACTACTGTCCAATTTGCATTTAAACAACTTGTCTGAAATCTTTTTTCCACCTACATTAGGCAACAACAACAACAACAACAACAACAATAATAATAATATGGTGCTTGATCATTTTCCTAGATTGATTTTCATCTACCTCGCCCTTTGTCCATCTTCTTCCTCAGCCTTTTTTTAGTCCTGTGTCAACTCTCTGCTAAAAGCTATAAATCAAGTGTCTTTCCCCACGTCAGCAGCAAAACTTAACACAGCGACAACTGCAGCAGCTTTTTTTTATTTAAATTAAGGAAGAACTACTGAGCTGAGTCAAGCCTTTGTACTGACAATCAAACCTTTGCTGCACTTGACAAAGCAATTTCATTTGCACCTGAGCACAGGGCGGTCACAGTGTGGAGCAGGCTGTTGTAGCGGGCTGTTGTAGCGGGCTGTTGTAGCGGGCTGTTGTAGCGGGCTGTTGTAGCGGGCTGTTGTAGCGGGCTGTTGTAGCGGGCTGTTGTAGCAGCGTGCTGTTGTAGCGGGCTGTTGTAGCGGGCTGTTGTAGCTTGGGCTGTTGTAGCTTGGGCTGATTTTACACTCGTACACTCATGCTTCCGTGCACCGTAGCTTTAATGTGCTCAGGACATTAAATGAGCTACGAGTCCATGTCCTCATGTATGTCCCTGTCACTATAGACACCTGTGTTGTTATGTACCACAGTAATTGAATGGATATTACTGTGACATTCACATTCCCAATCACAGTTTGGTTGAAAACTACTTTTGACTTTAAACATTCACTTCTTAGTCACAACTTTTTCAGTGGTATCAGCACTTTTGTGGAACTTAGTATTATGAATTTTATGAAATCCTCTTGCACAAAAAGTCACACTGCAGTCTCATTAAAGCCGACCCAGTGTTCTTATACTAATAAGCAGTATGTAGTGTTCTCGAGAGTCCTCTAGAGGTCCCTGACCCTTATCTATACACCAGCATGACACATCTATAAGGCTGCAGTATCAATATCTGCTAAATAATCTCAAACTATTGAGAACCTGATAACATGTATATTTTTATCTGCACAAACCACTGTATGAGTTGCTGCCACCTAGTGGCTGGAGGCTTGTTATCATTCAAGCCTTACAGCAGTGGTACACTTCAGGTGTAGCCTCACCATTTGATAAGTACCGCACATGGACACAACATATCATTACACACCAGTCCCATACTGAACTGATCATGGGCAACATCTCTGCAGTCAGTCAGTCAGTCAGTCAGTCATCTTTCTCCAGGCATTACTGACCATGTTCCAGTCTAACTACAAGTTGTTTCTAAGCAAAAAAAGGAATTCTCCTTTAATCTGCAGCTTCACAGTCCAGTCCTGTACAGATGGCCTGTGAAGTCCCTCAGGGCTGCGTTTTTTTAATTCTTTAAAGGAGGCCGGATCTCAAACACATTTATGGGCATTCCTTAAAGAATTCTGAGCTCGTTTAAACTACTGTACAGCATTTGTTTCGTTTCTATTTCATAGTGTTGTTGTCGTGGCGGCGACTGAAACCTCATTTCTATCTGATCTGGTCTCATCTCGAAGACAACGCTGTGACTCTGTGAAGAAACAGGAGGGATCTGATTGTGAGATGGCTGCAAACAATAGACCAAGGTGTGAGGAACAGTGTGTCCCTGTAGCACTTTGTGACGCTGTTAGTCATTTACCAAAAATACTATTCCTGCCACGCTGTTAGAAACTGGACTTCCTCTATAAAAAATGTTTTATTCACTGGGGAAACCATAAACCTGACAATAAATCCACCTCGGTGTCAAACTGCTGGGTGTGTTTTTGTTTTTGTCTTTTGCACACACCCCTTTGGCCCCTGCCTTTACAGCTGACACAGGCGTTCCATAAACACTGGCAAATAAAAAAAACATTTAAGTAGGACTGACAGTGATTATGTGTTTGCTTAATGCATCCATTTGAATTGTAAATGAGATCTTTTGTGTGTGTGGACTGCAAACAATTCAAAGTGTATTTTCAAATGTCATTAATGCAACTCAAAAGTACTCACTCAGATAATGTACAGGGTGTTTTTCAGCAGCAAAAAACAAAAACAAAAAAAAAACAAGAAATTATTTTAAATATGGTGGTTGATTATTTGGTTTCTTTTCTAATGGACATTTACCGTATGATATAAACTGAGTATTGTCATTATGACATGGACATACTGTACAGTACGACCCAACACTGCCCAGGGATTGTGAACGCATCCAACAAAATATTACTACATATGAAATGCAACATGAACAGCCACTCAGAAAGGTAAGTACTACGACTCTTTGATTCTTCTTTTACAGTGACTTTTTCTATCAGCACTATTGATCCAATCAGTTTTTTCCTATGTTTGGCATACATTAAAAAAAACAAACTTGTTGAATGCCAGAGACTGTTAAATGTTAGCTTTAAAAATGTAACTACCCTTTGGATTTTTTTTTAGAATGCTTTGAAGAATGGGTCGCTGTTGATTTATGACTATGTGCGTCAAACAACTCGGCAGCAACAAAGGCCACTAATGCATCAGCTGCAGCAGCACATTGATTTTTTTTTTTGGTAGAATAAAAGAGTATTTTTGTTTGTGGGGAAAACATAACAGGGGAATATGAATGTCACCGGAAAACTGAACAAGGCAAAGCTGCTACAATACACACACACACATACACAAATATATACATATATATGTATATATAGATGGTTGTATGACAGAGGACGTTTGCCCAGATTAAAGTAAATCCTGCCTGAAATCAGGAGCTGTGCCTCAGGAAAGCCCATAGACTCATCAGTGGAGTGTAACAGCTGCGTTTCATCAGTACTCTCCTCATTGTGTACAGTACATGCCGTACGACAACAACAGGATTCTGTTTTACATACAGCCACACACCACGCTCTACTACGACTAGGCTACTTTCAAAATATTATTTTCCTCCTACGCGGGCTCTTCTTCTTTGATCGGCTTCTAAGCGCAGCAAACAAAAGCCTTCGGAGACTAATTAGAATATTCAAAGGTCAAAGTTTACGGCTACATTTGTTCTCCATACCCTGAAGATCCAGCCTAGTTAAAATCTAAAGAACAAGGACAAGGATCGTTGTGCTGTTGCCGAGCTGCTAATTTTCCAGGACAGTTTGCTTCATTGCACCGGCTCTTGAACATTAGTCTTCACAGAGTCCTTGAACAACTTCACTGTAGACATAAGCAACAGGCATTCAAGGTAGGTTAAGGATAATTTGCCAATAAAGCCCCTAGGGGTTGGAAGAAGAACTGCAGATGTTCAAATGTTCAAATAAAAACATGTTTATATGAGATTCTGTTTTTTTTGTAACTACACATTAGGTGTAGTTTGATATAAAGGGTAAGTAGGCAAACAGATCCTTGATCTGAAAAAAGCCCCCTGAAGTGCAGGCTGTAATTTTTTTGTTGCACTTATGAAAAAAGATGACAAAAAAAAAGGTTTATTTAAAATGTTTTTGGAGAACTGCAATATGGATCAGCCGGAACTCACTCTCCCAAAACACAGGTCTTTAAATGTAAATGTACTACTGGTACGGAATGAGTTACCATTTAAAATAAGAAATCAGTAAACTCAACACATGCTCTAGAGTTTTAGCACCCTCTGCAGGGCTGAACTGTCAGCTGCACACTAACCCTAACCCTGTTTTACAAATCCCAGTGCACTCTTTCTTTAAACTGACAGACTGTGGGCAGAAGAAGAAGATGGCCTACCTTACTGGGACTGCAGAACCTGATGTGGAGGTGAAACTCCTGTATCACAAAGAAATGCACAAAGGTAAATAAACATTCAATATAATACAATATGACTCACATAGAAAGTATAGAGATTTAATATTTTTTCTAAATTTAGTAACAAACAAATTAAGAAAAAAGGGGAACAGATATTAATAAATCTTTGATAACACGCTTTGTGTCTTTGCATAATTGATTATAATTAATCTAAAATTGAATACTTACTAAATAAAACAAATAAGATATAAATGCAAATAAACCTCCACTAAACCTCATGAATCAGAATTAGGATTAATTTGTACATTTCATGGTTCAGTTGTTCTCTCACAGAAATACATACTGTAACAATAATTCGTTTGCGCTCTAAAGCAGTGGACCCTCATTAGATTAACTAACAGTGTATAATTAATGTGTAATTATTGGAGAAATACTCCACAGAAAACAACCAAACAGACACAGATTCTACCACACCTGCGACATCTTCTGTTCAACGTTTTTTTTTAATGACATTACAGCGTCTGGTTTTTCACATCCAACACAAACTGGTTTGATCCGGTTTAAGCCCCAGCTCCATGTTTTAAATTACTGTGCATGAATGAGTGATGTTATCTGAACGGTTATTGGATATGAGCCACAGAGCCAGCACTGAACGATGACCCTACCTCACCCTCGCCTCACCCCGGCTTGATTAGCAGAGCCGGAGTCCCTCAGTGGTATTACCGCTGTGATGGGGGCTAAACGTCTGACCTCAGACACCTGGCACAACATTTTTAGCACGATCAGCAGATTTTATATTTCACTGAACACTGGTCAGGTGTGTGTGTGTGCACGAGCATATCTTTCTATACAGTATGTGTGTCCTTCTGTAAATTAGAGTATTTTGATTGGCCAGGGAACTAATTAAATCACATACTTACAACATTTGTAAAGAAACTCCAACCACACATGCCCTAACTAAATAAAACTAAAGTGAACAGCAGTAGTAGTAGGGGTTATTATTATTATTATTTATTTATTTTTATTTTTTAATTCCATTGCACCAGGTCACAACCTGCTTCTTTGCATTTTCCTTTCAAGTTCATTTTCAATTTTATTGTTTTTTTTCTGATCTTAAAATTGTTTTTCATTTTGTGGGTGATGCAATAAAACTGAACACAGCTAAAGAATGTTACAATAATGAACCTCGTCAACGCTGTCCAAGACGCCTCAGAGATGTCTTAAAATGTTTAATTTTGAATGACTTCCGTAATGATAACATCCGTCGTACGTAGATATTTAATTGTATTGTTCATTTTGCAGTGTCGCAGCTTTTATGAAGCTATTAGCTTGTGGTGATGTAGCATTTTTATTTCCCTATTCAGTACAAAGTGAAAATTGATGAAAAAAAACATTACATGAGAAAATGATTTGGCAAATATGTTGCAGAACAGTTAGAAAAATCCACAGTGGATCCTTTTCATAAAAAGTTCAGCTTTAATGTCAATAAAATTTGTCTTTTGTAGACGAGTTTTGTTTGCGAGGATTTCCAGCGATTTCGGTAAAACAGGCGTCAAAAGAGCTTCTACCAAAGATTAAATATTTTTTTAAAATTTTGAATAAGCTATATTATCATTTTCATGTCTTGAAAATGTCTTAATTTTTTCACTTCAACTGATTGTTTTCCCATAATTCCTGAGCACTTCTTTGTTGGAACTGACTTTTATTCTGTCTGTCTGCCAACAGCCAAGGTCAGTCCAGTTTTGATCAGAGCGATGAAGGTAGGTCAGTCCAGTTTTGATCAGAGCGATCATAGCTCTGCAGACACGAAGAGCTGTTCTGCCTTTGCTTTATTTTCTCCACACGATCACATCACAAAAGGCCTGAATGTCACAGCGACTGTTTCATTAAGATGATAACGTTTTTAGGCCGTCAAACAGGGAGATCACTCCCTTCTTTGTGGTTTCACAGTAACACCTCACAAAAAGCAGTGCTGTTCAAGGAGCGTTGGAAAAAAGTGTTTTCACACACTGCCTTAAGAAACAGCATTTTTCAGTTCACGACTGGGGCACAGGCTCAGAGGAACCCACAGGCAAGTGTCAAAGTGTTGGGTCACGGCCGATAAAACCTCCCAGACACACGAGGGTATTCACTTTCCAGTTTTGTAAAACTCTGTGGGAGCAGAGTGAGGCTGTGACACCAAGAGGGAGCAAAAAGAACAACAACACAGGTATTTTATCTGCTTCTCTACTTACAGAAGTGGGGGCGGATAGTCAGCCCCCGCCCCGCGGGTTTACATGATCATCGAGGCCACTTACAGTACTACAACGATAATGTCATGTCAGAAAAGCAGAATTCTTCACATAAAGAAAAAAAAACTGCCTTTTTTTTGGTTTACAGTGTATGAAACCACAGGTCAGAGTTCTGGAAGTGTTTTCTCTCATCCTTTTCACAGTAATAGTTCATAACTGGTCCCTTTAGTGGTCACACAGTAGTGGTCACTGTTATGGTGTAACTGAAGCTACCTCCTGGGGGAGCAACCAGACGGACTCACTTCAGTGAAGCTTCGCTCTGCCCTACTTCCTGTTCCATTTAGTGGAAAGCTGTAAGTTCTTACAAACTGGGAGACAGACAGACAGACAGACCGACAGACAGACTAACAGACAGACTGCCAGACAGACATGTTAGTTTCAGTGCACTTGTATGAAAGGAGAAGACGTGGAGCGAAGAAGAAGCCTCAGAATGGGTAAGAAACACACTGCACGTACTGTACGTCCCACTCCAACTTCCCCCTGATGTAGGCCACACCACTTGTCTGATGCGTGCTCATGTCTACAGTCGTCATTGGCTGATACTCGTCAGTATTGATTACAAAATACTTGTTAAATCAAAACCGAGGAAAACTCAGAGCTTTCCCAGCTCAGCTTCACTGAGGACCAAACTGTCCCTGACGAAGGTCAACAACCAGCTGACCCTTTGTCTGAGGCTGAAAAGAAAACATTTTTCAAGCACATCAAGCCTTGGTGATTGGTTTCATGATAGTCCATTATATCAATAGTCTACACGGCTCCACAGGAAGTGACGACGATGATGATAATGATGAGGAAGCAAAGCGATGAGTAATTCTCGCCAATTCACAGTGGGTTTGACCCTTCAGCAGGGGTCGCCCTGACAGTAGTCCATGGAGTACAGGCACTGTTCCAAAAACTAACAGACCTCCTCCAGGGACTGGGAGTTGGGGGGATTTCATCCAGGTCTTCATCTGTATTCTATTTCTATAGGTTCATAATATAAAATAAAAGTGTGGATAGTTGGGTAGAAGTTAGGTCGGTGAAACAGCCGGACAATACCGCCAATCTCCACATCTCTGCTCTGACCTGTGATTAGCCGAGGAAGCTTTTTGCTATGGTAATGACTCCTCGTGAACCTCACAGTGTCAAGTGAGCCGTAGTCGTAGCAACAGCCAGCTTGTGAGGCTCTCTCACACCACGGAGAGGACAAGAGAGAGTGCAGCGGGCCCTCTGTCATCAGTCCATTTCTTCTGGTCCATTCTCAGAGGCTCGTCTGTCTCTTGTCCAGTCTCCTGTCTTTGTATTCCCATCTGGCTCGGTATTATATTATTGTCTTGTTCTCAATAGATAATTAACTGCTTAATGATCTGCTCAGGCAAATGGATTTCCTCAGTCATAAATACATAGATTGTTGGTGTCATTATAATTATTTCTTTTGTCGTCGCTCTCTCTCTTCATTGTACAAAAAATTACAGAGCGTCACTGATGGGGTTTGATTCATTTTCCCGGTGAGGTTTTACATATACGTGTTCAGAAACAAAGCAGAGAAGAAGAAAAAACCCAAACATTTACTACCACGTATTAACCCCTCACCCAGTCACCTTCAGGAAATGAGAGTGTATTAGATCATCCATCTTTACGATATAAACTATCATTGTCTCCACAGCCACTTATCTCTCTCTCCCTCTCTCTCTCTCTCTCTCTGTTGTCCGTCCCTCCTCCCTCCACACTATCATTTACTCCTCCTTATCCTCATCTCACACGTCAATCCTGAGTTCTAAACCTCTGGCTCTTGCACGGTCTCTCCATCAACCCCCCCCCATCTGCCCCCCTCAGGGCTGAGTGGCCGTGCATCTCCATGAGCTGAGTGAGTCTGAAATATTAATGTCTACAGGCAGAGGCGACCTCCAGCACACTCTGCAGGAGGTGCAGCCCAGGCCAGTGTGGGCAGGTACGGACAGAGAGGGTGAAAAAAAAGTATTGACCAGCGTTGGTCATGTTAACCTGCTGACCAAACTTTACAAAAACAGGTTCTGCAACTTCTAGTGTTTCAAAGATGAATTGAGTAAGTCAACTTTATTCAGTAATAAAGAGCTAAGTGTCACGTGACTCCTGTTTTTTGAACCAAAAAAACATCATCATTTCCACTATTGACTTGTTGGACATCACTATTTGATGGGATCATGACCTAAATGTATTGGCAGGGCCCACTCTAGTACACGGGCCTGAGATTGACCTGGGTTTTAAAATAACCTAACGCTCTCTTTCTCAGGCCTTTTTGTACTTTAAAGTACCAGTACCAATGGTCAGGTCACTTACCTGCCTGACCTGGATGGTTCAAATCTATATTTCCCATGAGTCAACTGTACGTGGGCTGTGGTCCGTGGAGAAACTAACAAAGACAGAAGCAGAAAGTGGGGCAGATGCTTTAATGTCTAATCAGGATGATCAGAACATTGTCTTAATGTATGTACTGTACTGTAGTTACTACTGACACAATGTTCATTCATTTGGTAATCATGTATTTTTTACAATAGAAATTAAGTTAAATTCTAGAAATATCTGAAATGTTAAACTAAAACCAAAAAAGTTTTTAATTTGTTTAATCAAACTTGGATTTAAATTCCATCTCAATTCTTTTGCTTCTAGTTCTATAGTACTTGAGGATCTCCTCTTACACAACGAGCGCGTCGTGTGTGTTAATGCACCAGCGCCCCTCCCCCTCTCTCTGGTGGTTTCCCTTTATCCTCT